TTTTTCCTCCTCCACTCCTTAGGCAAGGGAGAGCTTCGGGGCAGTACTTGCAACTTTGCTGACATGTTTTGGGTTGACACTGAATGAAAGAGATCACACCATGTAAACCATGTTCATGCAAATAAATGCAGAACATGCAAGGAACATTCATCGTAATGAAGAAAAGCACCAAAAGAAGCACAGCTTTTACTGTCGCCAGTGGGAAAATGGGATCTGCTAGTAGCTTGTTACCAGCCATTTCTGAAGCAGCTTTGAAACCAAAGCTTTCCTACTGAAGTCACTTGAACTCTGTTTTCCTCAGTGTTGTATGTCCTAAATAAACACTGCTTTAAGGGGGAAAAAAAAAGACAACCCCTTCGTATCCAAGATCCTCAGCTGTGCAGCAAGAGCAGAGTATGACTTACATGACTTACATGAGCTGAATTGGAGCTCTACCATTCATATCCTGGATCTGAGTAGAGTTCTTTTTGAGGAAAAAAAAATCATTTCTGTTGTGCAGAAGTCATGGCAACGCCCTGGGAATCTTGCCTAGTCACAGGATATCAGCATTCACCGAGAACGGGGACCTTGGAAGATCAGCTAATCAACTTCTCCCGCTGGAAGAGATCACCTGTGTTCATCAAGCATCAGGACGGAGACTTTATCTAATCTGTTCTTAAGATCCCAGGTCTGGGCAGTTTTTACTTTCCCTAGGCTATCAGTTGCAGCTTGCACAATACTCCAAGTAGTTTGTTTTCTCTTTGCTGACTCACACTTGCCCTGAAGCTGGCTCAGTTTAATTTTTCTGTTACTGTAATTCACTGTTGCATGGGGATTATCCTGGGCTGTGCTGGCTAGCATTAAGCCAGAGAGKCAAGAGGTGAGGGGATGAAGGAAGTTCAAAATTTTTCCATCTCCTATCAGTTGCTTGAGAAATGACTTTGCTCTTCAGAGTCTTATTCCTTCCAATATTACGAATGTGGGTTAATAAAATGGAAGAAAAGAAACTGCAATGAATCGAAGGGGAAAGTTTAATGCCTATTACCTGGTGAGACCACGACATGAAAATAAGCTYCCAGCTGCTTAGGGATGGATAAAATAGGGGTATGTAGCTCAGGCTACCATTATCACAAATACACATGAGTCAATGTATTAACTATTAGCATAAGGAGTTGCTAGGCCTGCTATAGTTCATCTGAGGCAATCTGCAGAAATACCAGTCTTTAAATGTACTTTAAATGAAGTACAGAGRTGGCATTTTTACAAGGAACTCAGCACTTAGTAGCTGTGCCAATTAAAACCTTTAGTACAACTTCTACTGATATTTTTCTATTACAATAAATACTGAAATTAATAAAAAGTAACTATTTTGAATCCCATCTTAGCAGATAATCACTAGAACCTATCTCTTGCTATGCATAAGTGAGTGTAACTTTTTTTAATGGAGACAATCATTGGACATCCAAACATCAATGATGGATCTAGTGATTCAAAGGAAAACTAACAGAAATATATTGTGTGTGCGTGTGCATGTGTATGTGTGTGTGTGACATATAGGCTGAAAGACAGAGAGGACTTTGGCCTAAAACTCACATTGATTCAGGAACAAAGATGGTAGGGAAGGGGTACAGTAGCCCCAAATAGGTGCCTGTTGCCATTTAAAGGGCACTGGAGACCCTGGTGTGGAACTGGCAGATATAGGACAAGCTATGGAAGATGTGAAACCTTCTGAGTGACAGCTGGAAGGCAAGTGGAATAGCCTCCCACATCAACAGTGGGCACCTATGTTTAGGCAACTAATTCCATCATAATTTGAAGGGAATGTGTAAGGCAATTAGCAGAAATTAGAAAATATGGCATGTAGAAAATTGATACAGGTAGTTATAGGGAGAAGAGAGATGGCTAGGAAGCAAAGCAACAAGAAGAAGCACCTGAGAAAAAATTCTGCTATTATATACTAGTGATTGGTTGGAAAGAGCAAAATTACTAAGAGCTGGATTAGGAATGCTGACATTTCTGTTCTGCAGCTGAACGGGAACAGGCTGATCTGTTGGTATTGCAGGAGGATGAGAAGTAACATAGCAAGACAATGATGAGCCGGGCCACAAACTGGATGGTGACAAGCCAGGCTGCCAGCCTGGGGACAGCCAGCTTGCTTGCCCCTGGCATGGGGCCATCTGGTTGAATTGTTGGGCAGCGTATGGACTGCCTTTCTGCCTGGCTTCCATCAAAAAAGTTAAACAATGCACAGTGGTAAAGCCTTCACGGTCTGTTATGAGAGTTTGGCTTGCTTTAGAAAATGACTCCCCTCAAAGTCTTTCAAATYTTCATGAAGTCTGCCCTCAGCACTGCCTTGGAGAGACCATGTCGCGCTCAGTGAATCTTTTACCAAGACTAATTTTAAGACTTATTTTAAGGCACGCTCACGCACATGTCCATGCTTTCCAGGTACTTGACTTGAGATGCTGGGGAGCCACTTGCAGAAATGGCCTGGCTGGAGCTGCAGACAGGGGCTGCTTGCCTGCCCGTGAAAGGTTGCGCTGCTACGTCCTTCTACATACTTGGGATATATTAAGCCTCGGGTTTTCATTGCCCATGCAGAGTCAGTGGCTGTATTTCGCCTTAAGATCCACACGCTTCTCTTGGAAATTAGATAAGCTGTCCAATTATCTCTTAAGGGCTTTCTGAAAAGCAGATGTGTGTAAACTCCTCCCCTCCTCTTAGTGATAAGTGCCATAGAAAATGCACATGAAGAAGCTGGTGATTCAGAATGAGAGAGCAGAGCAATGAGGGCTTAAAGCCACGCGTTGTACAGGCACTTGTTTAATGGATATTGCCTTTGTGTACTGCATAGATAGAGAAACTTGAGGGTTTGTATGTTTGCAGAATCCCTTGTGATCATCTAATTACCATAGCATACTGTATATGCATAAATGGCTTAACTCAAATGCCACTGGCTCAGTCTGGCCAGTGACTAATCTGAGTGCTTGGCTTTGCTAGGGTGATATCTTTATTGTGGATTTGTGTAACATTAACTTTTGATTAGGTCGTTTGCCCATTTCATCTTTTCATGTCGTGAACAGATTTTACCACAGCAAAATATTCAATGAATATCTAAAAAAATCAGCAGTTTCTCTTCGTTTTCCCTAAAATAAAGACTATTAATATCCTTGCTGTGTGCTGTTTTCCCTCCTCKCTCTTCTGCATGTGCAATCTCCCGTTTTCCAGAGCATCTTTGTTATTGCATTTACTTTGTTCACAGCTCTGTCTGCTGCATCAGTTTTACACTTGTACACTTGACAGTTACTGCTCAATTTGGCTTTCAGGATTTTTTTTTTCTATTGGAGTTTATTATAAATCTTTAGGCTTGCTAAATCTTTGCTTTTTCTTTCTCCAAACCTTCCTAGAGTGCTTTGTTTCAGACATGAAATTCAACAGCAAAAAACTTATTATAAAATTATACATTGTCAATAACTGTCACTGATAATGCTGGGAAAGAATAAATTTATTTCTTGAGGTCTGTTCTTTGTCATTTTCCTACCATCACTGCAACAATCTTGGACAAAGTTACTGTCTGGTCCTGTGTTCTTAAAAAATATTTCTTCTACATGACTAATATTATATTTTCTTGTCCAAACAAAGAAACATTTTGATAATCTTTCCCTGCAAGAACCTGGCTTGATTTTTTTTCCCTCAGAATAATAAAGCTCCATGAATAGCTTAAAGATTTACATCTTCCTTTGCCCTGTTACCTGACCTGAACTTGATTGAAGATTTGGGACTTGCTTTGGACTGCCCAACCTTTTATCCTCATTTTATTAGTATCTGTTTAGACAAATTTGCTTCTCAGAAACCTAAACTTGCATGGCCAGACTTTGCTTTTCTTCATATATTTTGGGGAAGAAGTGACTTCTCACATTTTAATTCCCCAAGTTCTGGAATACATAAAGCACTTTTTGTGTGCGTGTGCGTGTGTGTGTGCTGAAGCCTGTCCTTTCAAACCGCTGCACCATTTCCCTGTGTGCATTTCTCTGCCTTGGCCCMGGCGGATCTCCCGGCAGTGGATTGAAAGGAAGCTGCTTCTTGTTGGCAAAACCAGCAACCGCGGTACCCCGGGGTAGCACCTTTATGGGGTAGCACACACAGGCAGCACCTTTTGTTGCCAGCAGACACCTACAGGCCTGTCTTTTCCCGATAGCGAGCCCCAGGTTGGTTTATTTGAGCTACGCTTGCGATGACATCTCCCTGGGTTTGAACGGGTGCTGTTCATCCGAAGACACAGTGTGGTCCCTCTCGCCAGTCTCTTCCATCTGCATCCTGTGCCAGCTCCGTGTACCCGCGGTGGCAATCAGAGCTGTGTTGCTAATTCAAACACCACTTCACTTGGAGCTACGTCGCTAATTCAAACGCCGTTTCAGTGGGAAGGGATGGGGCTGGTGGCTCCTGAGGGCAAAGGGTGAATGAASAGGGACTTGCCTTGCAGGTGGAGGGGAAGGAGACGGGAGGGTGAAGGAGGAGTGGGGGCACAGCAGACACCTGTCCTGCCTGTTACCGTTTTTCGCGGAGCTGAATAATTTTAGGGTTATTTACAGACMATGGTTGTGGAGTCTCCTTCTCTGGAGATCTTCCCAACCCGCCGGGACGCCGCCCTGTGCCCCGTGCTCTGGGTGTCCCTGCTGGAGCAGGGGTTTGGACTGGATGATCTCTAGGGGTCCCTTCCAACCGCAGCCATCCTGGGATTCTGTGGAATGCCCCAAACCCCTATTGCTTCGCATCTCCTCCGCTCCTGGACAGGAGCGCGGCAGCCCCTCGCGCAGACAACCCGCCTGCCCCACACGGCCGCGGGGCTCTCCCTTCCCTCGGCATCAAACCGCTGCCTTCTCCCTATCACCAACTTTATTGTTATCAGGGTGCGTGCCGGGCCGCAGGGCGGCCATGGCGCCGGCAGGAGGCGCCCGGCGGCGGCGGCGGGAGGAGCGACGAGGGCCGAGGCGGCGGTGGCGGCGCCGCCGGAAGCGGCGCGGAGCGGCGGCAACGGCAGCATGGAAGCGGTGCCGCGCGACGAGAAGCCCAACCCGCTGCGCGACGCCAACCTCTGCTCGCGGCTCTTCTTCTGGTGAGCGCCCGAGGGGGGATCGCTGCCGCGGGGATGCTGCGCGGCCGCCCCGTGCCCCGCGCCGGGGCAGCGAGCGGCGCCGCGGGCCGGCGGCGGGGACACGTGTGGCGGAGCCGACGGGCCCCGGGCCCGTCGGCTCCGCCACACGTGTCCCCGCCGCCGGCCCGCGGCCCCGGGCGCCCGTTCGCCATGGAGGCTCCCCCCGCGGCACTGGCCGCCCTCGCAGGCTGCTGCCGGGGAGCCCCGCTTCGGGATGCGCCTCGCCGCTCGGAGCGGGGAGAGCCACGTCCCTCTGGCTGTGCTGGCGAGGAGGAAGGGGRAAAATGACATGGAGTGACTTCGTGCTGCTACCGGGTGTCGGTGTGGAAAGCGGGGCTGGAGAAGGAGGCGTGCAGGGTTGCGGCTTTCCTTGGATTCATCCCGTTTCCGTGCAGGGTTATGGCTTTCCTTGGGG